CACTGGGGCTGATGGGGGCAGCTTGCTGGCATTCACCAAGGGAGGGCCTGTGGGCACGCATTGCAGAGAATGGCTCATATGTTGTGAGGTCTCCTCTGTGCTCTGGTGATCGGAGGAGATTGCATAGCGCAGAAGCCCCCTGCCCACGGGAGCCGGCCGCCCAGACACGGACCTCGCAGGCTGTCAGATCTTGGTGGAGACAGGCAGAAGCATCCCATCAGGTGACAGTGAGCGGTACTCAGGCTCTGTGTCCTGGAGCTGCTTCTCGCCAGCTGTGGTCAGTGCAGGGGGAATGAGGAGGTCTTTTGGGGGCCTGGGGAGGGGGTGCAGCCTGGGGGATGTTGGTGGACGTGGACGTGGAGGTGGGAGGCAGGAAGTCTCGTGGGGTGGCGGAGGAGGTGGGAGCTGTGTGCGAGAGCAGGTGGAGAGCCTTCAGGGGCAGGACCAGGACACGGCTCAGTTGTAGAGGAGCTTGGGAGTGAGGCTGGCAGTCTGGAGGGCACGGTGGGCTGGGCGGTGGCAGGCACTAGGCCAGGAGAGCCTCATGGATGTGGTTCCCGCGTGCAGACCCCTAGGAGCACAGCCACGGGCTGCAGGCCCTCAGCACTCAGTCCTCATCTGGAGCCTTCGCCTGCTTCTCCTTCCCAGAGCACTGAGGCACCAGCGGGGTTGGCACTCCACTTTGGGCTTCCTTTCCTGGAGAGCCGCTTGAGGGTCCCTCCTGTGACTGGGGCCTCCACGGTGGGAGCTGGGGGATCGCAGAGCCCCTGCCTGGGGGAGCTGGCGGATGCGAGCCCCATCTGGGGCTGCCACATAGGACATGCAAGGCGGTGCCTGGGGCCCCAGCTCCCTCTCAGTGGCCACTGCCCACCTGGTAACACCCCCCACCAGCTGCAGAGCCCCAGCCAGTGCCAGCCACACTGGGAGGTCGCAGGACAGGCAGCCCCAGGGCTGCGACTTGGTTCTGCATCTACTGTTAGAAGTGAGCGGGAATCTGCAGGCCCACTAGGGCCACTGGGTCCCAAGAGAGCAAAGGGCTGCACGTTCCCAAACAGCCGTTGCCCCCATGGCCGTGATAGGTAATCCATATTGGATGTCATAAGGACCAGGGGGATATTTAAAGAGAGAAACAGAAAATATATAGAGATATAAAATTATATTCACAGTTTATCTACAGATTTTTCGTAACAATCTTTGTTTTCCAGTTTGATACTGTAAATCTATCAGCAGAGCTGCGGGCGCGGGCATGGTGGGAGTTGGGAGCCCCAGGCCGCCTGCCGTCCCCCTCCGTCTTCCCACGGACCACACCAGGCCACTGGGCCCCACAGGACAGGCCACAGCAGGTGGCCGGTTCTGTCCCGTCTTGAGGTTCTTGGGATCCATGTCTTGTGGGCCGTAGGCGTCTACCTGCCTGTGGTGCTTTGCCAGAGAGGGGACTCCCCCCCCCCGGCCCCCAGGGTGGACGGAGCCCGTCACCGTCCAGGGCCGGGCCAGGGAAGGATGGCGTGTTCTGCTTTTCCTTCCAGATTGTTGAAATTTCATTGTCATGATTTAATATATGGATTTTTTTAATTTAAAAGACGAAGGCCTCTTTGTCGAGTGGGTTTGTTTTCTGTCTCCATGCCTCCGGTTTCCCAAAGAGATCCAGGTCTTCGAGTTTCCCAGGCGTGGGGACTCCTGCCCTCGCCTCCACACCGCCTCACCCTGGCCTCTGTGCTACTGGGCAGTTCCATTTCAATATTTATTTTTGTGTTGCTTTTTATCATGATATAAATTATTGAGAACAGATCACATGTGGGCCCGTGTCTGGCCGCCGCTGCCCTGCTCTGTCCCTGCGGCCACCACCTAATTTATTGCCGTGCGTCCTGCTGCTGTGACCGCTTTTGTACCTTTGCAATAAAGAATTTTCTGGTTTCAGACCCTTGCGTCGTGTAGTTGGTGCTTTCAGCTGGGGCTTTCTTGGGCCAAGAACCACTCCCCCATCCCAGGGGACCCCGCCTGTCCCTCACCAAGGAGGGTCAGGGTCAGGATCTGGGCACCATGTGTAAGTGGGTTTCTCAGACTGCCAGCCCCTGACTGACGCTGGGACAGCCACAAGGGAGGTGCCAGTCAGGTGGCCACGTCCTGGGCCTGGTCTCTGAGGGTCAAGCTGCAGTCCTGAGCATCTCCGTCTGCTCCACCCGGAGCCTTCTATCCAGGCAGCCTCTCTCTTCCAATGAAGGAGCAGAAAGCAGTGCGGCGGTCAGCGTCCCCCTTCCCCATGAGACCCCTCATCCAGCTTTGCTGGACTCTCAGTGGAGCCTGCAGGAAGTTCTGAGCCAGACAGAGTCTGTCCGGGAGCAGAGAGCAAAGCCCCCTGCAGAGCAGACGGAAGCCTGAGGACTCAGAAAAGTCAAGGGCCCGCCCAGATGCTGTCCCTGCCCTGCCTGACCTTCCGGGGAGAGCAGCCCCTGCCCACCCGTCCCCATTTTTGGGGCTGAGCTGACTGGGGTCTGAACACCCTCCAGTGCTGGACCATACTGGGTGAAATCCCAACTCAATTTTTTTTGAGACAGGATCTCACTGTCACCCAGGCTGGAGTGTGCAGTGGGATGATCACGGCTCACTGCAGCCTCAACCTCCTGGGTTCAAGCAGTCCTCCCATCTCAGCCTCCTAAGTAGCTGGGACCACTGGCATGCACCGCCATACCCAGCTAATTTTTGTATTTTTTTGTAGAGATGATGATTTACCATGCTGCCCAGGCCGGTCTCAGACTCCTAGGCTCAAGCAATACGCCCACGTTGGCCTCAAGTGCCGAAATTCCAGGCGTGAGACACTGCACCCCGTCAAAATCCCAGCTCTCAGCATCCATGTGGCCTGGGGCCAGTCCCCCCCCGCCGCCCCAGCCTTGCTTCCTGTGAGTTGAGTGTGGAGGTGAGTGCCGTAGCTGGTGCATGGTGCAGTGGGAGTGGCATCTACTGGGGCTACGGCAGCCTGAGCTTGTCCCTAGCAATGGCAGGGATGGCACTTTCCCCAGCTAAATCCAACCTCCCTGTGGCCCACCCTGTGGCTCTGGGCCCAGCCTGCTTCTCCTGGGGGAGGACAGATGGGGAAGCTATGAAAGGAGACACCACCTCGAACAGCCACGCAGCCTACACCCAGGCCAGGCCAGGGCCCCCAGGGCTTCCAGCCTTTCTTGTGGATTGCTGAGGATTCTCAGCTGGACCATCTCCAGATGAGGACACTGAGGCTAGGAGGGGCTAGAGAGCTTGGCAGAGCATCTAGCTAAGACACGTGGCTCCTGCCTGCCTCGAAGCCTGCTCCTCTGTTGGGGCCTGTCACTGGGGAACCCCTTTTTCAGCAGTGATGATGACACTGGAACCACGCTGTTCTCTGCCCTCTCCCCCTTGCATGTGCCCATGCTCCCTCCCGAGGCGGGCGAGCCTGGCCTGGACCGCCTCACGCTGCCTTCATCCATGCAGAGTGGGTTTAGCCCCGAGGGCTTTCCTTCGAGCTGTGCTGGAAACCAGCAGAAGCAGCCTTGTCTGCAGGGGAGAGGCATCTGTGAGGGGCAGGAGGCAGGGTGGAGAGACGGCCTCTGCAGAGCTGGCTCACTGGTGTCCAAGTCGCTGCTCTGTGACCTCAGGCAACTTGCTACGCCTCTCTGAGCTCTGTCGCCGTCCTGGCTGGTGTGAGCACTGAGTGTGTCAGTTTCCTGGTACTGCTGGCATAGGAGCCCAGTCCTTGGCCCTCAGCCTCTGCCGCCCGGAGCCCATGCGGTATCTGGGTCTCCAGAAGGGGAGCTATCGGCCACATACCCTCCAAACATGAGATTTGGGCAATTCAAGCCCTAAACGGGTGGTCTTCCCCGGGGCAAGGGCAGAGAAGGCCCAGGGTTTGGCCAGTGTCCCCAGCCTCCAGAAACTGCCCCTTGGCAGCAGTTACCTGGGGAGCACCATGCTCCCACCTGCTGATGGGGTGACAGACGGTGGCCACCTGGTGGGCCTCCCCCTGCAGAGGTCCAGTAAGGCGGGTGGGGGTCTTTCTAGCCTGGGAGGAGCTCGGTCTCATCAGGCAGCCCAGCTGGGCCCTGCAGACCCACTGGCCTTGAGTCCCCACGTCCCCAGCCCAGAAAGCAAAAGTCTGGGAGTGGATCCTCTCTAGCCCGGGCACCACTGGTCTGTTGCCACCCTGCTGAGTCCCTCAGAGAGCTAAGACACATTTCCCGCTGTTCCTGGTGGCCATGGGTGGGGGCAGTGTGGGTGGGAGCTCTGGTTCCTGGGTGGTGCCCACTGAGCCTTCCTGTCTGCTGTGCCTGCTGTTCCCTGGCTCTCCACACCCACTGCCTGAGCCCCCCTCCCAGGCTCTGCCCACTTCTACTGCCCCAGCCTCCACCCAACCTGTGCTTCGGGCCCCAGACACACAAAGCTGACTGATACCTGCAGGCTAGGTCATTGCCCTCTCCCCTTACAGGCCCTGGGCTTGGGGGGGTGTGCCCCTACAGTGACACCCCTCACCCTGATCCAGCCACGTGTCCTCCCAGAAGCCCCTTCAGTCCCTGGGTGGCAGTTGTTCTCGCCGCCGGGATTTCCAAGGCCACTTGGGTGCCTCCAGCTTCCTGTCGGCAGGGCATGTGTCTGAGGCTTGGCTCCTCAAACCCAGGGCCGTGCCTGGCACGTGGAGGAATAAGAGAAGGGGAGGAGGCAGGCGCCCAGGCAGGAGCCCCCGCTGTGCCCCAGATGCTCAGGGCTCTGCCCTCGTGGCCTCTACCTCCACTGTGGATGGGGCTGGCACGAGGCCCATTCTGGAGGAAGCAGAAGCTCCCAGGAAAAAGACGGCCGCTGTGATCTCACTGCCTGACCTCTGCCCTGCACTGCCCTGGGCAATGAGGCTGTCCACTCCAGATGGGTGGGACCCCCTTTCCCGCGTGCAGACTCTGAGCAGTCGGCCTCCTGTGACCCCCACTGCTGCCTGCTCCCAAGGCTACAGGCCCTGCTGGAACAGAAGCTAAGACTCAATAGAAAATCCAAGGTGTTTAAATAAGAGCGATTCTCGCAGCCCTGTGGCACTGGCCAGCCTCACAGACACCCAGTGGTTCTGTGAACCATCCCAGGCACACCTTGTGGGCGCCTGGCCAGGGCTCCCTGTGGCTGGCATGTGGAGTCATGTGGGCCCTTCTCCACGTGCCCACAATGGCCGCAGCAGGCTCTGAGGAGGCCCAGCCCCAGCCAGCCTGTGTGGACCCTGCCAGCCTGCCGCACCCAGAGCTGCTGTGTCAGGGCTGGGCTGCCCAATGCCCTAGCGCCCCTCCCTGCAGCTGCCCAGCCTGGGATCCGTCCACTGTCTGTCTCGAGTCGGGGCGTCTGACCCACTCACAGTTCTCATGAGGCCCGTGCAGCCGAGGCCCTGCAGCCACACTCACTGCCCGCCCCACAGTGACCCTAGGGACTGATGGCAGGTGATCCCAGGGTGTCCCCAGGCTCTTCCGTTTGGCTCAGGTGCCTTCTCCTGGGGCGGCCGGCCCACCTGGGTGCCTGGCAGGGCCATTAAGTGCCCTGAACACCGGGCTGGAGGGAGGATGGGAAGTGGGCTCCGAGGGCCTCATAGGAGGGCTCTCAGGAGAGGCCCCACCTTTGGCAGGAGGGTTGGTGGGTCGGGGACCCTATTCTTCCCAGAGGCCTGGGCAACCTGGGTCCCTAGCTAGGTGCCAGCAGGCCAGGCCCCTCTACAGGTCCTCTGAGGGGATCAGCATCCGCTTCTCCAGGCTCCGGCTCTTCCTGCTCCCACCAGAGCTGCCACCAGGGTGGGTACCAGGTCGGGGTACCTCGTGCGTGGCCTGCTGTGTGTAGTGCTGGTAGGTGGGAGAGAAGTTGTGGATGGCATCCTGCACGATGTCCTGGGGGCTCACTGTCTCCCTGAGGCCGCTGGAGATGCTCTGCATGGGTGCCGGGGGAGCTGGGGGAATGCAGCATGTGAACCCCACCATCCCCCCTGCACTTCAGCCCCCGGACATGCCCCTCAGCCCTGCCTCCCAGATGCCCAGGGCTGGGGCTCCTGCATGTCCAGGTCTGGCATCAGCCAGCGGAGGGTGGCCCCAGACCCCTGGACCCCAGTCCAGCTTCCTCCACCCAGCACTGGGACTATCCCTGGCCAGACCCCTGCCAAGGACCACATCGCCCTGAAGTTTCAGAGGGGCTCCGAGCAGCGGGGTACACCTTTGGCTGGCCTTGGGTGGGCACCCTGGCCACTCCACAAAGACTGATGAGAAGCCAGGCAGGCAGGCCACAGGCTGTCCCCACCCTAATGGGGGGTGTGCCTGGCAGGGGATGCCCAACCCCTATCACCATTGGGATCTGGGACTACCTGGATCCCACACAGCCCAGGTGCCTGTCTGGAGCTGGATGCCCACTGGTCATCTCCCCGCCCAGTGAGCTGGCATTCCTGGACCTCGAGAGTGGCATGGACACAGACCTGGTGCCCCAGCTGGAAGGCAGGGCTGTGCGTTCTGGGTGCCCCAGCTGGCAGGCAGGACATACCTGGCGAGTTGTCCTTCTCTGCATACACCTCACAGGGGAAGGCGTAACGCAGGGCCACAGAGGCGAACAGCATCTCCATGCAGATGATGAAGTTTTGGTAGCCAGCGGCCAACGTGCCAGCCCCTAGCCTGTTCCCGCTGACGGTCTCCACCTCCGGGATGACCCCACATCGCTCCAGGATGGCCAGCAGCAGCCCTGCAGATGCCACAGCCACTCAGCCCCAGCCCCCGATGGGGTCTACAGGGGAGGAAGAGGCCCCGGACCCTGAAGCAGCTCCCCGAAGTGCTGTGATCCTGTCCATGTGGTTTCATCCCACCCAGGGGAGACTGAGGTTTAGGGGGGCAGGGCGCCTCCAAAGTCAGGGATCTCAGCACAGCAGATGCTCGGGAGCCCTCCTGGGCCTGCCCTGCTGCTCCAGCCCCAAAGTGGGACCTCCCCACTTCCCCTGTACCCATAAGCTTTACCCTGGCTTCCAGCTGATCTGTGCCACAGCTGGGGAAACTGAAGCTCACAGGGCCTGGGGAAGGGGGCATGAGATGAGCCCCCGGTGGGGGTGTGAAGTGAATCTGGGATGGGGGTGTGAACCCGGGATGGGGGTATGAGGTGAACCCGGGATTGGGGTGTGAGGTGAACCCGGGATGGGGTGTGAGGTGAACCTGGGATGGGGGTGTGAGGTGAACCCGGGATGGGGGTATGAGATGAACCCGGGATGGGGGTATGAGGTTAACCTGGGATGGGGGTGTGAACTTGAGATAGGGGTGTAAGGTGAACCCGGGATGTGGGTATGAGGTGAATCTGGGATGGGGGTGTGAACCCGGGATGGGGGTATGA